TTAGTCATCTTATTCGATTAATGCTAATACTTGTAAATCTCGTTAGGCATTTATGATTATAACTTGTATTAACAACAAATCAAGTTTCTTTCATAGCTCAGGTGTCGGTTATACCATACATTATAGGCTATGAGAGTGCTAAGTATTTATTGTACCAAGTGTTATACAATATAAATCTAGATTAGTCATTTAACAAGCAAAGTATTAAAGAGTGAATAAGATAACAAATAAAAAACATGTTAGTATCAAACATTAAAGTCTATATTAAGTTTACACTATACTTATTCTTATACCATTAGTGTAACCTTTTCACCTTGATATAATAAACTTAATTAAATATAATGAAAGAAATAAAAATAAATAAACAAAATAAGAACATAAATCAGATAAATGTTAACTAAGTAAATGAAAGGAAATGAAAGGCATAAACTTGATATTAATGAAAGCAAATCATAAATATTACAAAAAAATACAAAGAAAGAAAGCAAGAGCGTGATCTTGATTTGGAAACCAAGATGCCTAAATGCATGGCAAATACCTTCTTTTATAGGCCAAAATTAGAAATTTTTGATTTGATGACTAATTAATGAGTGGGTGGTCAACTCTTGACTTGGTGACAATCCTTATCTTCTCTTGTCTGCCTAAAACATCATTGATAACATCAAAATTATAACTACTTGAAAACATGAAAGTTGTACAAAATTATCTCAGCTTTCTAGGTAAAACATTGAGGTCATTTGAACTTCTAGAACTCCAAATATGGGCCAAATACTGAATAGTGCTCGGGCTGGAGGATAGATTCGGACTTCTTTGTTGTTGCTACAATTTGGACTTGAAAAGTGAAAAAATAAAATAAAATAAATACTATAATTTGTACAAGAACTTACCTCTACGACAATGACACCAAAAACTTGACATAACTAAAACATTGATGTTTTCTCTCAAGTGCAGGAGTGTCGAAGTAATAAATAACCTGGAAAAAACCGGGGTTGACCACAGGGAGGTTATTTGTACATGAACTATAGGGAGGTTAATTGTATAAATTATATATAAAAATAATATAACAACAATAACAATAATAACAATAACAACAACAACAACAATAACAACAGTAACAACAACAACAACAACAACAACAACAACAACAACAACAACAACAACAACGACAATAATAATAATAAAAGGATAGATTCGGACTTCTTTGTTGTTGCTACAAATTGGACTTGAAAAGTGAAAAAATAAAATAAAATAAATACTATAATTTGTACAAGAACTTACCTCTACGACAATGACACCAAAAACTTGACATAACTAAAACATTTAGATATGACCCAATTACAAAACAATATTCATGTTTGGATTGCACCAGCATCTTTTTTCTAAGTTTGGCCATCTCCTTGTGCTTTCAATTTCAGTTCTTAAACTCATCAACCAATCCTTTTATTTATATGATAAGCCTGCATTTAAAATGAGCATTTACCATAAATTAAAGGTATCTTATATTATTAGATATGTTATTATAAAACATGCTTTAGTTAAGGAGTTATTAATACTTCAAGTGCAAAATAATGATATAAAACCTTGATAAAAATACACTTTTAATTACTAATCAACCTTCAAAACATAAAACAAAAAATATCAAAGCATTATATATATATAACATAGGTAAAACATTAGTTAAATGTGGGTGAAATTGTCGAATAATATGGTTACATCAAATACCCCCACACTTAGCTCTTGCTTGTCCTCGAGAAAGTATATATAAAATCAAATTGAAAATAATTATGATGAATCTCTTAATCTCCCATCAATGTCCAAGAATATATGCATTATAAATAAGAATACAATAAAAAAGGATAAAGAGTATAAATTTTCATGAATTTATTTACATGCAAACTTTGAAACTCAATTAATTGTTGGGATTTAAATGAAATCTATGTCATGGTAAAGTGATAGTTCCTCTTATTGATATATGTTATAACACTTACGTGTTTAGGGTTTATGTGTTTGAATCTCTCAAATTTAATTAATGAATATATTCTACCATAAGCTTACTCTTCAATCTCATCTCCATTACTAATATATTACAAGCAATGTATGAATCAAAAGGTTTTATTTTTCAGTTGTAATGGGGCTAAGGTTAAGGTGAGGAAAAAGAAAATAAAAGGAAAGGTTCTAACCAAAAAAAGTAGAGCATTCTAAAAAAAAAAAAATATTTCAAACATGATAGTCCATCAAAGCATATAAATTTTTCATCTTTAATCACCAATGCTTAATTTCTTTGAATTTCAAGTTCTTTCAACATAAAACCTTAAGAACATAAAGGAATACTTTTTTTTATTTATTCTTTTCTTTTTTTTCTTTTCTTTTCACCTTTGGCAACTTTGCTCATCTTTTCATCAAGTATCACTTCTTCTTTCTTTTCACATAATTTCCAACCATAATTCCATGAGATATCACAAGTATATGCCTTACTAATCCATAGCCAAGGGAAAAGAAAAACATATAAAAAGTTTGGGCTTATATATTAATAAAGTAAAGAAAAGATAAATAAACACAAAACGGGCTCACTAAGAATAATATGCTTTAGGTTAGCTTTTTGGCTCGAGTGGTTAAAGTTTCAAAAAAAATTCAAGACATCTTTTTTATAAAAAATTAAGACAAAAATATAATAGATCAATTCAGGTCAACTCGTATTAATATGCTAAATTCACGACCTGGGTAATAAGAATTAGACAATCTCATAGAAAGCAAATTGAAACAAATTATGAAACATAATTATCAATTAAACCAATATTGAATAATGAAATTGAAAAAAACAAGTAAGTCAACTTGAGTTAAACCGTCAAGCCCGCAACTCGGGTAATGAAACTAAGATAACCTCATAAAAAACAAATCAAAAACTTATAAAATTTAATTCTAAATCAATCAAATGTTGAATGATAAAATTAAAAAAAATAAGTAAAAAACATGATAAAAAAATGAATTAACATGTCAAATCCATGACCTAAATTATGAAATCAGGAAAAAAAAACTTAATACTAAATAATAAAATTAAAAAACCTAAACCTTAAAAAAAAAAATGTTAAAGTAAACTATGTTTTCTGACAAGAGTATCGCTAAATTCTCCTCCTTGGAAAATAGCAAAACATCAATTTAAAATAACAATGTAAGGTGAGGAGGGAGCCATGAATCTCACACCTCATTTAATTTCGGTTAGATAATCATTTATTTAATCAATTTTATTTTTATATTTTTTAAATAAGAAACTTAAGTAGAAATAATTAGCAATTAAATACAATTATCTCAAAAACCATCAAATGTAAGGATAATTACTATTTTGTTTCCTTGTTAACAAATTTATTATTTTCAATTCAAATAACAACATTTTTCAACTCAAATAATATATATCTATTTTTAAACTAGCTCAATAAATTTAATTTAAATATTCTTTAAAATAATAAATTATTTTTCAACAACTTGGACAATGCAAGCGACAAAAAATATTGATTTTGTAGCAAGTGGCCCCCACACATGTGACTTGGATAGAGAGAGCATATTATCAAAGCACACAAGTAGGCTCCGCCGTTGTCCTTAGTAGCTGATCACGCCTTGTAAGACCTAGACCTGCACCCTCAGAGAGATTAAGCGGAAGCTTTGATCCTTCCGGCGCAAGAAAGAAAGCCAATCCATCTCCGTATGCACTTTGACCTTGCGAATCCATGGAAAAGGAGAAATGGGTAGTGAAGTCTGTAAGATTCCCCGAGGCCTCGTCCCAAAGCTGCATCGGTTTGTAATACGTGGCTCGACCGGAACTTGAAGTCATATTAGCATTTCTTAGATTTTTGACATGATTATGAGAACCGTACAATATATTTTAGGAAGTGGAAGGGCTAAGATTTAGCAATTGAGCGGGGTGGCTAATTTATAAATCTTTAAACAGAGTGAACTTAAACTGTTCAATTGGACATGAATTTGTACTCTGTTTCAAAGAAAATCAATTTCAGAAAAGACGTAAAAATTGATCAGTACAAAAAAAGGGAAAAACTAAATGTTTTAAATGGATAAGAATCTCAAATTAATTACACTGGTCATCAATTTAACCTTCGTGTAGAAGCATGACAGGTGCAGAAGCAGCCGAAGAAGATGCGGTGAACTGGGAAGAATTAGTGTTGTAACTATAACTTGAAGATTTGTTCATCCCTCCTTCAGAATCTGTAAGGCCATAGGACATTATTGAAAGTGAAGATGCAGATATTGGCGGGGCGAAATATGATGGCACGGGCATCTTTGATGGGAGAATAGGCAATGGAGCATCAAAATTAAGTACGTGAAGTGCTTGCCGAATTGAGGGTCTAAGATGTTCATCCGGATGAGCACACGAAAGGCCGACAATCATCAAGCGTTCCATCTGCGTCTTGTTAAAATCTCCGC